ATTACATAAAATTATATATAATTTTATATAATAATATATAATTCTTTGAAAGTAAACCTTAATATAAAGTTATATATAATTATATAAAATTATATAAAAATTTGTAGAATTATATATTTTTATATATAATCAGATAAAATTATATCGTGCCAATTTTTATATATAATTATATATAATCATTTATATATAATTATATATGATTATATATAATTTTTTTTCCTGGGAAGTTATAAAAATATGTTTTTTTTATTATTATTTTATTATTTTCTATATTTTGAAATTATTAGTTTACAACGCTTTGTTTATTTAATTAGTAAATTTAATTGTCTTGGAATGAATACATACTTGTATTTTTGGGAAATTTGCTAATATGTAGACAATAAAATTCATCGTAATACTGATTGTGTCACTCGCCTATATACAGAAATATTTATTTTAATATTTATTTATTTATAATTATTATAAAATGTTGCACGTACCGCTAATAACATTGTTATTACATTATCGCGAATATCCTCTTGCGTGAAATTTTCTTCACAGGATGCGTCCATCAAGATATCAAATAACTTTTTATCTATATTATTTAACGAAAAGTTTAAATATAAATTAAAATGTTAATTATTTATTTAATCTTATGCCAGTATACAGTAAACTTCAAAGTTAAATTGTATATTCTCTCTACATAAAAATTGAAAGTAAATTTAGGAAAAGACAATTTCCTAGAAATGTGTGTGTGTGTGTGTGTGTGTGTGTGTGTGTGCGTATGTATATATATATATAATAAAAATCGATATTTTAATATTGTTTCTACAGCTTTGAACCATTTATTTTATTGCCTGTAAAATATTGATGTACTTACGAGTTTGATTATTTTCCTTGGTTGTATTCAAATTATTTAACTTATGTGTGTGCTGTTGTATCATCTGTATAATAATAGATTATGTAATAAACAAAATAATCCAGGATATCAACAAATATAATTATCATATACCTCATCAGTAAGAGAATGCACCAAATTTGTATCTTTTTTCTGTTTGTGTCCCAAAGCAGTGAGATTAAATATAACATCAGAAAATAATAATATATTCCTTACTCTACATAAAAGAATATTTTTTGACCTGAAACATCGTTTTTTAATAAAACAATGTGAAACTTTGCATAATTATATATGTAGAGTGGTAAGTCCTCTAATAACAAAATAATTTTTTGTTTGGGCTATAAAGCAATTTTAGGAGTGAAAACATTCTCTAAAAAAATTGATTTTTACATTTCTAAGCAAATATTGAAATGCGAGAAGAGATATGAAAAAATAATCCTATCTTAAAATTGCCGTGTTAAGTCGATAGTCGAATTTAT